TAAAGATTGCAGTTATGTTGATCATGACATTTTTTTTCTTTTTTTTGTTGTCCCTCTAATTTTAATTATTATTTTAATTGTGGCCCAATTATTATAGACACTGAGAAAGTTTCTTGTCTTCTTGAAATTTTTTTTTTTTTTGATTCTTCTATAACTTTTTCGTAAACGAAACATTTTGCATTCGTTACACAATCAAAATCAAATCGAAAAATTTGGTGTCGGAAAATCAACATCACCATCGTTCTTGCCATTAAATTTCACCATCTTCCATCTCCAACTGCCCTAGACAGCTATTCTCCACCTCTCTCCCTATCTCTCTAGCTTTCTCCTTCTGTATCCTCTAATCATTCCTAGAAAAAAAAAAACAAAAAATCTCATAGAAGAAACCCAGAAAGAGTAAAGAAACTAAAAACCCATTTCAAAGTCTGTGTTTTTATTACAAATCCATTTCAAAGTCTTTGTTTTTGATTCGACTCAAAATGGGATCTTCTGCTTCGAAGACCGCTTCTTCTACTTCGTCTTCCTCTGCTACGGTGACGAAACTCGCCTCCGATTTCCCATCTCCGGCGGTTCAGAGAGCTTTCTCCTTCCCGACGCCGTTGGTACACCATCCTCCGGCGAGAAAAGGCGACACTCATCACCTAGTTTCCCTCACATCTACCTCGTACGGTTCGCTTCTCCTCATCGATCTGGATGGATCCAAAAACTCTTCCTCCGACCAACAGCAGACGCTACCTCGTATCTCAATCGCCGGGAAGAACAACACATCAGATCCGGTCTCACGCGACTCGTTCTCTCCTGACTCAGTCATAAACACATGGGAGCTTATGGATGGCTTAGACGACGAATTCGAATTCGAGATTCCCAAATCTGGTAAGCTTGATTTCAGTCTAAATTCGGGTTTTTGCTTTAAACCCAACTCGAATCAGAATGTGGGTCTTAGTGGGTCTTCGTTGAAACTAGACGAATCTTACGAGTTTGTGAGAATCGAACAAGACGAAGAAGATTGGGTCCCTTTGTCTTATAAACCTAAACAACCTTTGTGGAAACATTTATCTGAAGAATCATTTCTCTCTGGTTTAGATCCTAGCATTGTCTCATCTTACAAGAAAGCTTTGTCTTCTAAACAATTAAGTAGTCATAGTAACAATGGTGATACTAAAAACCCTATCAGAACCACAAAATCCCTCTCTTGTATCCCATCATCAAATCCACCTATGATCTTAATCACCGAACCAAAATCTGTATGCTCTAGTCCAGTGAGTTCTCAAACGAAACCGAGATTACCTGGAGGAGAAGAGGACAAGATTGTGCTCTACTTCACAACTCTCCGAGGTATTCGAAAGACATACGAGGATTGTTGTTGTGTTAGAACGATATTGAGAGGGCTTCAAGTCACGGTAGACGAACGTGACATCTCAATGGATTCCAAGTACAGGAAAGAGCTTCAAAGCGAGCTTAGCGCCATAGAGAAACCGGTTTGTTTGCCTCAAGTGTTTATTAGAGGAACCCACATTGGTGGCGTCGAGGCGATTATGCAGCTAAACGATAGCGGTGAATTAGCAGAGATGTTGAAAGACTTTCCTGCTTGTGAGAGACTAGGGACTTGCCGGAGCTGTGGGGATGCAAGGTTTGTGCCATGTACTAACTGTGATGGTAGCACTAAAGTGTTTGAAGAAGAAGACGAACGGTTCAAGCGATGTTCTAAATGCAATGAGAATGGATTGGTTCGTTGCCGCGAGTGTTGTTTCTAAGTGTGATCAGAAACTGTGTGGGTGAAAATGGGAATTAGAAAGAAGAGAAAGAGTTGAATGATTCATGACTAAAGATTTGTTTGGTGAGTTGGGTACTTGGGTTAGTATTGTATATTGAAATAAGGAAGTGGCTCAAGCCTGTAACTACTATCTTATAATATCTTGTGGATTTGTGTTCTATATTTGTTCTTGCTCTTAGACCCCTTTAGCATTTTAAACTAAATGATTATTACATGGATATATTGTTAGATGATGCTTGGTAAAATCATTCCATCGTTTTGCAGGGTTTTATGAGTGAAAAGTTTATGTGCAATTGAGATTTCTATTCATTGATAAATATAACTATGAACTTGTCATTCCGGAATTTTGTAATCCTTATTGGTGAATTTTGGTGGGTATTATTAAATATAAAATTATTAAAATTTGAGTAAAAGGAAAAAATAGTGTTTTTGGTTGAGTGTATTGAAATATAAAATTAATAAAATTTGAGTAAAGAGAAAAGATAGTGGGTATTTTTAGAGAGAGAGTATCAAAATTATCAAATAGTTGATACTTTTGAAAAGAGAAAGAGTGTGTTTTTAATAATTTTATATTTAAAGAGAGTATAAAATTAA